TCTACATTATTCTTTAGTGTTGCATAGTATTCCATTGTGTGAATGTACCAAAGTTTGGTTATCCATTCCTCAGTTGTTGGACATCTAGGTTGTTTCTATATTGAACTGGTAACTTTAAAACTATATAATCCGACTACGAGACCAGAAGAACTAGATGGTACCTGGCTATCATTCTCAACCACTCAGGGGGATCTCTGTAGGAGATCCTGGCTAGAGAGGGAGAACAGTGTGAAACAAAACTCAAAATCATTAAAAAAAGAAAAAAAAAAGAGTGGGGGCACCAAATCTGCTGGTCTGATAGAGCCTATTGGAACTCCTGAGACTACGGCCTCTAGCTGCCTTTCAGGTCTGGAACTGAACTCACTCCTGTGGCTTCCAGCCAAACAAAAGACAGGCATATGAGCTGAATGAACATTAACATTAGGTGGATACACTCCTTGGAAAGATCAATCATGGGAGAGTAGAAGGGCTGTGTATGCCCAGGGTGACAGCTTGAGGGGCAGCAGTGCATGGGAGGGAAGGACACAGGGAAGAGGTAACTGTGGGGAGGAAGTGGGAAGAGAGCATTGAGGGAAACTGCAGTCAATGGCATGAGAAAAAGTGTATGTGAGCTGCTTGCTGTATGGAAAGTGAATTTGCTCTGTAAACTTTCACCCAAATCACAATAAAAATTAAAAAAAGAACAAAACAAAAAAAAACTATGTGTAATCCTTTTTGACCAAAGATTCCGTGGAGCTCTGGTGGCTTAGTGCCTAAGGCATTTGACTGCTAACCAGAAGGCTAACAGTTCAAACTCACTAGCCACTCCACTGAAGCAGGCAACCTATTTCTATAAAGATTTACCCCCTCAGAAACCTGAAGGGTGTTGCTATGAGTCAGAAAAGTACAGAACAAATTTTCAAATTCTCATGGACTCCTTACTTCCTGAACTATGAAAGTTGTGTGAACCCGTGAGACTATTGCCCTGAGATAACCTTTAAACCTTAAAGCAAAGATATCCCCTGATGCCACCTTAAAACCAATTGTTTAGCTTAATTAGTAAAAAATGTCTGCCTTGAGCATTTTGCACTTTTAAGAACTAACTATATGGGATCAGATTGATAATAGCAACTCAAAAGATTAGATAGGAACTTCAAGGGGCAGTGAATTTATGTTAACGGAGGAGAAACAACTCAGAAAAGGAGAGTAAGAATGGTTACACAACTCTGAGAATGTAATCAACGTCACTAAATGGTACATGTAGGAATGTTGACTTGGTGCATGTTTTGGTGTGTACAGTCTCAACAACAGCAAAATAAATAAAATTATATTTTAACAGAACTGTATATCCTCTTAACCAGCACCCTTGATTTTGATCCAGCAGGATTTGTTTTCTTCTCAAAATGCAAGTAAGTCAAAAGGTGCATCTCTCCCGCCCAGCAAACTCCCCACTCCAGTCTTGCTTTTTGATGATGAAGATGAAGAGGTAAACATTGTTATTGAAGCACTAGTAACTAGGGAAGGGGAGGAAACACTGTGGAGGGGGGGAACTAGATAACTAATTTTCAGATTAATAGAAAACTATTCTTGATTTGGCTTTATGGCCAGAGGCTCATTAGCTAGGGTAAACCCATTGGGGGCTTTCCGTTATACAAATAATGTCTGCTTTTATTTCAGAGTCTCCTATTTTTTCTCAACTGTACAATGGGTTGTTATTGTTGTTATGTGCCATCGAGCCGGACCCAATTCACAGCAACCCCTCCTTGGGTTTCCGTGGCAGTATCACTATGGAAGTAGATTTCCCAACCTTCCTTCTAAGAAGTGGCTGGGGGGTTTGAACCACCAGCCTTCTGGTTAGCAGTCAAGGGCTTTAGGCACTATGCTACCAGAGCTCCCGTACAATGGGTAGGACATTAGATTCTTGACCCAGTTCTTATGGGAAGCTTTATAAAAAATTTTCATTTAAGAATACTTCACAGAAGATACATTTCTGTTGTATACAGTAAACTATACAGAATGTCTTCGATAAGGTAGGAGTGGAGAAGAAAATAAGGCCATGTCCTGACTTCACCTTTTTCTCCCTCTGGACTGAGAGAGAAAGTGTTAGGTGCTGATGAGTCAGTTTCAACCCATAGTGACCCTGTGTACAACAGAATGAAACACTGCCTGGTCCTGTGCCATCCTCAGAATCATTGCCATACTTGAGCCCATTGTCCTAGCCACTGCCAATCCCCTTTTATATAAATCTGCTACTTTACCTAGCATAATACCCCTCTCCAGGGATTGGTCACTTCTGACAACATGACCAAAGTATGAGAGACAAAGTCTCTCCATTCTCCTTTCTAAGGAGCATTCCGGCTGTACACATGTGTTCGTTTGTAGCAGTTCATAGTACATTCAATATTCTTTGCCAGCATATCAAATGCATCAGTTCTTCTGTCGTCTTATTCATTGTTCAGCTCTTGTATGCATATGAGGCTATTGAAAATACCATGGCTTGGATTGTATGCCTTAATCTTCAAAGTGACATCTTTGCTCTTAAACACTTTAAAGAGATATTTTGCAACAGATTTGCCCAGTGCAATCATGCATTTGATTTTTTGACTATTGCTTCTATGGGTGTTGATTGTGGAAGAGAGAAGAGTAAGGAGAGAAATAAGGGGGAGGACAAACGACATCTTAACCATTCTGCATTGTTGTACAATGGCTAAGCTCCGTAGGCTTTGGAATCAGACTCCTGGGTTTATATCACAGGTTCACCACTTGCAGACCAGGGACCTTGGGCAAGTACCTTAACTTTCTGAATCTCACATGACTTAACAGAATGTAGAATCTTTGTGGTGATGAAAATAAATAACTTATGTAAAGCACTTAGCACAGTGCTTAGCACACTGTAAGTCCATACTAGATGTTAGCTTTACTAATACCTCTTTTTGACATCAGCTCTTTATTCTCATGCATTTTCTTACTGCACCCTCCCCAAAGGCTCCCTTCATCTCTTCACATTTTAAGACTGTTCTCTTGCTGTGGTATATTGTTAAAAGTGTTCATTTATCCTGATGCTGTCTCACATTAGTTTTGTTCACATGAGTTTAGTAAACGTACCTTAATGCAGGTACTTTCACAGTGCTTGACTATATGAGAATTTACATACGACATTGAACCTATAAGAATCAACCCTGAATAGACTAGTGATTTTATTTAGTCAGCTATTTGTATTGTCTCTTTAAAATGAACTAGAAGTTTGAGTTGCTCCTTTCCTTGGTCCCAGGTGTGTCTCTCTTGTATATCTGAAAGAGAAGAGAAACTACCTATATTTCTCTCGTTTAACCCTTTGCTCCAGTTTCTAATTCATAGAAAGACAAAGTTGCAGATTGCTGGCTGCCATGGGGCTGTACTGCTTTCTTGCTAATTCTAGGCTTCCATGTTTCATAGTTCTACTTCTGTGTCCTTGTCCTCACATTGGCACCCCCTCCCTCCAGTGTTCTACTTTTGAACACTGGGGTAATTACTCTCTCTGGGTAATTACTTTTCTTTTTGTGGGTGAAGAATGTAGATAGAAAAAGCTATAGACTGTTATAGAATTAGAACATCTAAGATGAGGAATGATATTTACTAGCATTTTGTGATTTTTTTTTCCTCCCCAAAAGGTATTATGTTCTGTACATGATGAGAGACTCATTACCTACAGTTTGACATGAGAGAATGTCTTAGTTTCTGACTATATTTCATGTGTACAAAGTTGTCATACCCACTGTTTTTGGTTTTCTAGGATAACCTTTTTGGGGCTACAGTTGCTAAAAAGCAGACTTCATCCCTGCTAACATCAAGTCAAGAGAAAACAAAACTCTATGAGCCCTCCAAAAAGAAAGCATCTGCCTTACTGTTCAGCAGTGATGAGGAGGTGGGTGCAGAGTTCTAAAGAATATAAGAGGTTTTCTGATGAGATTAAAGGATTGTAGTACCAGTGGTATTGAAGGAAGAAGTCAAAGCTGCAGTAAAGGAGTTGGTAAAAAACAATTTTGCAGTTTGTTTTATACCTAGTGAAGTTATCAAAGACTGTTTATAAGATTATTGCTTTTCTTAAAGAAAGCTATTTAGTAGAATGTATTAATTTACAGGGTAATTTTTTCAAAATGATTAGGAATAAATATGGCTTCTAAACTTTATAGTGTATGCTAATTAAAATGAGTTAGACCTTTTTTTATCTTAAATGTTTTTTGCATTTTATTAATCTAGAGTGATAGCTAGCCATCATAGGAGAGTCCTGTGCAAAACAACCCTGTTCTGTGTCATAGACATCTTAACAATATTTCCATTTGCTCTCTGGGTACATATTGGTAAAACATTGGTGAGTATGATTTAGCCTCTTTTCAAATTTAGCTGTATAGAACATAAGTTCAAATATGATATTGCTATTACATTAGTTATATATAACATTAATTATATTATACATCATAATTGTATAATGTATATGCTTTTGGAGGGCCAAGACATGTAGGGAAGGCTGGGGAGTGGCAGCAGATGGCTTTTGGAGGGCCGGAACAGGTAGGGAAGGCTGGGAAGTGGGAGCGGAGCAGTTTGGAACAGCTAAGGGAGACGAACTCATCTGTCAGTTTGTCATCCTGTGGTGGTTTATGTGTTGCTGTGAGGCTGGAGACTATGCCACCGGTGTTTTAAGTGCCAACAGGGTTACCCATGGTGGACAGGTTTCAGTGGAGCTTCCAGACTAAGACAGACTTGGAAGAAGGAAGAAGGCATCTACTTTTCAAAGAATTGGCCAGTGAAAACCTTATGAATAGCAGTGAAACACTCTTGATATGGTACTGAAAAATAGCCATGAAACATCATCTGATTTAGTGCCAGAAGATGATCCCTTAGGTTGGAAGGCACCCAAAATATGACTAGGAAGGAGCTGCCTCCTCAGAATAGAGCCATCCTTAACGATGTGGATAGAGTAAAGCTTTCAGGACCACTTTTTGCTGATGTGGCACAACTCCAGATGAAAAGAAATAGCTGCAAACATCCATTCATTGGAACATGGAATGTACAAAGTATGAATCTAGGAAAATTGGTAGTTGTCAGAAATGAAATAGAATGCATAAAGATTGATATCATAGGCATTAGTGAGCTGAAATGAACGGGTTGTAGCCATTTAAAATCAGACAACCATATGATCTACTATACTGGGAATGACAATTTGAAGAGGAATGGCATGGCACTCATCCCAAAGAATGTTTCAAGATCTAGCCTAAAGTACCATGCTGTCCATGATAGGATAATATCCATATGCATAAGAGGAAGACCAGTTAATATTACTATTATTCAAATTTATGCACCGACCACCAAAGCCAAAGATGAGGAGATTGAAGATTTTTACCAGCATCTGCAGTTGTGGTCTGAAATTGACCAAACAAGCAATCAAGATGTGTTACTTATCACTGGTGATTACAGTGCAAAAGTTGGAAACAAAGAAGAACTTCCAGTAGTTGGAAAATATGATCTTGGTTATAGAAATGACACTGGAGATCGCATGATAGAATTTTGCAAGACTAACGGCTTATTCATTGCAGATACCTTTTTTCAACAACATAAATGGTGGCTATACACGTGGACTTCGCCAGACTGAGTACACAGGAATCAGATTGACTACATCTGTGGCAAGAAGTGATAAAGAAGCTCAATATCTTCAGCCAAAACAAAGCCAGGAGCTGATTGTGGAACTGACCATCAACTGCTCATTTACAAGTTCAAGTTGAGGTGAAGACAATTAAAAGAAGTCCACAAAAGCCAAAATATGACCTTGATTATATCCCTCCTGAACTTAGAGACTATCTAAAGAATAGACTTGATGCATTGAACACGAATGATGGAAAACCAGAAGAATTATAGGATGACATCAAGAACATTGTCCATGAAGAAAGCAAAAGGTCATTAAAAAGACAAGAAAGGAAGTAAAGGCCAAAATGGATGTCAGAAGAGACTCTGAAAGTTGCACTTGAACGGAGAGTAGCTAAAGCAAATGGAAGAATCAACGGGATAAAAGAGGTGAAAAGAAGATTTCAAAGAGCAGCTCAAGAAGTCAAAGTCAGTTATTATGATGAAATGTGCAAAGACTTGGAGTTAGAAAACCAAAATGGAAATACATGCTCGACATTTCTCAAGCCAAAAAAACTGAGGAAAAAACATAAGCCTCAAATTGCAATATTGAAAGATTCCATGGACAGTCTCTTGAATGAGGCAGGTAACATCAAAAGAAGATGGGTGGAATACACAGAGTCACTATACCAAAAAGAATTGGTAGATGACCATCCATTTCAGGAGGTGGCATATGATCAAGAGCCAGTGGTATTGAAGGAAGAAGTCAAAGCTGCAATAAAGGAGTTTGTGAAAAACAAGGTTCTGGGAATTGATGGAATACTCATTGAGATGTTTCAACAAGTGGATGCTGTGGTGGAGGCAATCACTTAGCTATGCCAGGTGATTTGGAAGACAGCTACCTGGCCAACTGACTGGAAGAGATCCATATTTGTACCCAATCCAAAGAAAATGTGGAAATTGAACAATATTGATATCACACGCAAGTAAAACTTATTGAAGATAATTCAAAAACAGTTGCAGTAGTGTATTGACAGAGAACTTTCAGAAATGCAAGCTGGATTCAGAATGGGACATGGAGCAAAGGGTATCATAGCTTATTGCAGATGGATCTTGACTGCAAGCAAAGAATACCAGAAAGATGTTTAGTTATGTTTTATTGACTATGCAAAGGCATTTGATTGTGTAGGTCATAACAAATTGTGGATAGCAGTGAGAAGAATTGGAATTTCAGAACACTTAATTGTACTCATGAGCAGCCTGTACGTAGACCAGAAGGCAGTCGTTCTAACAGAATGAGGGGATACTGTATGGTTTAAAATCAGGAAGGGAGTGCATCAAGGTTGTATCCTTTCACCATGCTTATCCAATCTGTATGCTGAGTGAATAATCCAAGAAGCTGGACTATATGAAGAAGAACATGCCATCAGGATTGGAGGAAAGCTTATTAACAACCTGAGATAATTCAGATGATACAATTTTGCTTGCTGAAAGTGAGGATGACTTTGGAGCACTTACTGATGAAGATTAAGAATGACAATCTACAGTATGAATTATACCTTAATATAAAGAAAACAAAAATCCTCCTAACTGGACAAATAAGTAGCAACATGATAGATGGAGAAAAGATTGAAGTTGTCAAAGACTTCATATTACATGGTGCTACAATCAGCGCCAGTGGAAGCAGCAGTGAAGACATCAAAAGAGGTATTGCATTGGGTAAATCTGCTGCAAAGGACCTCTTTGAAACACTGAAGAGCAAAGATACCTCTGTGAAGACTAAGATGTGCCTAACCAATGCCATGGTATTTTCAGTCGCCTCTTACTCATGTGAGAGCTGGAAAACAAATAAGACTGAAGAAGAGTTGATGCTTTTGAGTTGTGGTATTGGTGAAGAATGCTGAAAGTACCATGGACTACTAAGAGAACTAACAGATGTGTCCTGAAGGAAGTTTAGCTGGAATGCTCTTTGGAAGCGAGGATGGCCAGACTTCATCTCACCCACTTTGGTCATGTTATAAGAAGGGACCATTCTCTGGAGAAGGATGTCATGCTTGTTAAAGTGCAGGATCAACAAAAGAGGGGAAGGCCCTCAACAAGATGGATTGACATGGTGTCTGCAGTGATGGGCTCAGGTATAGTAGGGATCGTGAGGCTGGCACAGGACTGGGCAGTGTTTTGTTCTGTTTGTACAAAAGGTCACTATGAGTCAGAGATGACAGCACATAACAACAACAACAAAAAATATTTTATTTGTAACAAAATATTAAAAGCCCTGATCTTTAAGAAACTTCCTTATTATGCTAATTGTTCTTTATTGTACTGTTGTGAGCCAGATATAAGAGTATGCTGATGTAGATAAATCTGAGATATGTTAAATATGCTTATTGAAAGCAACTTAACTTAAAAAAACACAATTTGCTTTTTCTACTTAAATCTGGGTTTATGATGGCTTATCCTTTGTTTGTTTGTTTGTTTTAAGCAGTGTTAGTGGTTGATCTCCTTGTAGTTGAGGCCAGTCATTATGGGGAAAATAAAAATACTAGCAGAAGCCTAGAGGAAAAGTACATCCAGAATTAAATTAACCAGAATTCCAGAACAGTGACTCTCAACCTTGACTGCCCATTGGAATCATCTGGGAAGTTAAAAAGTGCTGATGTCTGGATCCCACTACCAGAGATTTGGAATTAATTGGCTTAGGGCACGGCCTTGCCATTGGGATTCTAATATGTAGTCACTGTTGAGCATCTCTGGTCTAGAGGATGTTTTTCAAACCTTGATGTGAAACAAGTCACTTGGAGATTGTGGTAAAATGCAGGTTCTGATTCAGAAAATCTGAGTGGCCCCTGAGATTCTGTGTTTCTAACAAGCAGATACTACTGGTTCAAGGATTACACTTCAGTTTGTAAGCCTGTAGACTCTAGATACTTAAATAAGTGATCAGAAGTTTCTGGATAAGAAAAAAAAATATCAAGTCCACTGCCATTAATTTCAACTCATAGCAACCCTCCAAAAAATCAAACTTAACTGCCATTGAGTTAATTCTGACACATGGCGACCCCCTTTGGGTTTCCGAGGCAGTAAATCTTTGCGGAAGTAGATTGCCCAGTCTTCTTTTCGTGGAGGAGCTGATGGGTTTGAACCACCAGCCTTCTGGGTAGCAGTCAAATGCCTTAGGCACTATGCCACCAGAGCTCCTTATGTTGTTGTTATGTGCCGTTGAGTCAGACCCAACTCAGAGCAACCCCTTCTTGGGTTTCCAAGGCAGTATCACTACAGAAGCAGATTGCCCAATCTTCCTTCCAAGGAGCTCCTTGTAGTGACCTTGTAAGGTGGTAAACTCTGTATTGAAGCAGACTACCTCATCTTTCTCCCATGCAGCATCTAGTAGGTTTGAACCATTAACCCTTTGGTTAGCAGCTGAATGCATTAACCGCTATGTCACCAGAGTTCCTTGGATGAGAATAGCCACTAAAACTCACTCACTGCCATTGAGTCGATTCTGATTCATAGTGACCCCTCCTTGGGTTTCTGAGGCAATATCTCTACGGAAGTTTTGTTGTTGTTATGTGCTGTTGAGTCGGATCCGACTCATAGTGACCCCTCCTTGGGTTTCTGAGGTGGTATCACTACAGAAGTAGATTGCCCAACCTTTCTTCCGAGGAGTGGCTGGTGGGTTTGAACCACCAGCCTTCTGGTTAGCAGTCAAGTGCCTTAGGCACTATGCTACCAGAGCTCCTATGTAGATTGCCCAGTATTCCTTCTAAGGAGTGACTGGTGGGTTTGAACCACCACCCTTCTGGTTAGCAGCCGAATGCTTTAGGCACTGTGGTTTTCTAAAGGCCACATTCAGACTTTGTGGCAAAAACATTAGCAGCTTTCATTGTGTCTTATTTTACATGTGAATTGTGTGAGCTTTTTATACTTGTTTTTCTTTTTCAGGCTGCTCTGGGATTTTTTAAAAATTAAAATATAATTCTCCCTCCAAGTTGAGAGTTCCTTATTAATTTTTTTTTTTTTTTTAATTATGATTTGGGTGAAAGTTTATAGAGCAAATTCACTTTCCATACAGCAGCTCACATACACTGTCTCTTGACATTGACTGAAATTTCCCACAATGCAACAGCTCCCCTCCCACTTCCTCCCCATAGTTACCTCTTCCTTGTGTCCTTCTTTCCCATGCACTCCTGCCCCCCAGGCTGTCTCCCTGTGCATATACACAGCCCTTCTATTCACCCATGATTGATCTTTCCAGGGAGTGTATCTACCTAATGTAAATGTTCAGCTCATATACCTGTCTTGTTTGGCTGGAAGCCACCAGAGTGAGTTCAGTTCCAGACCTGAAAGGCAGCTAGGGGCCATAGTCTCAGTGGCTCCAGAGTTCCTGATAACGTTTACATCTTCTTTTTCTGTTCTTCCTCTGTAGTTAATTTTGATTTCCTGAAATAGACCACTTCCGTTGTCCTAACATTCAGCAGAACAATAGAGGAGAGAAACATCAGGGCAAGACAGTAGGGGGAAAAAGATCATGAGAAGATTTGTCAGGTCAGAGAATTCAATTTTCTAGATTTAAGTACAAAGAAAAGTATTGGGCATACATTTCTTCTAAGAGTGATATGTTTTGTTTAAGTACACTTAGTTTAAGTATTACAAGTTTTACTTTCCATGTTTCTTAATCTCAACTGTCATAGGATTTTTCATATACTTTTTATTTTCTAAGGACCAGTGGAGTATTACTGATTCACACACCAACACAACATCTGACAGCAGGTCTAGAGGAGACCTTAGAGACACTGGGACCACCCAGGACCAAGAAGCTAAGAAGGCTGTGAAAAAGACCAGTCTCTTTGAAGATGATGATGAAGATGATCTGTTTGCTATTGCTAAAGACAGGTGAAATAGTCATTGCCAGAAATCCTTTAATCAGTGTCTGTGGTAACCAGTAACCAAAATTTGATGTGTAAGATGTTATTACTTTACATAACATGGTAACTGTTCATCACTTGGTAGCTACACAATTGAGAAGATTTTGGACTGGCTTTTCACTTACAAGGTGCTCCTGATGCTAGAAAATGTTTTTCTCTGTAGATCCTTACCCATGTTTTCTACATATCATGTCTTCTTTTTTCTTTTTTTTTAAACTGCATTTTATTGAAATAAAATTTATGTACAGTGAAATACACAAAGCTAAAGTGACATGGGGCAATGTACTTTTTTTTTTTTTTGGCAGTGTTCCCTTCCTTCCTCTCCCATCCATGGTAACCAACAAAGAAAGTTCCCTTCCATATATAAACCTTTCCTTGACTTTTTACAATAATGAACTAACACTATATTTGTCCATCTATGATTGACTTTTTACATTCAGCATAATGTCCTATAAGTTCATCTGTGTTATATGGTGTTTTGCAGATTTTACATTATTTTTTAGGGTTGCATAGTATTCTGTTGTGTGTATGTACTGTAGTTTGGTTATCCATTCTTCTCTTGATGTGCACGTAGGTGGTTTCCTTCTTTTTGCTATTGTAAATAGTGCTGCGATGAACATGGGCGTACATATATCTGTTCTTGTCATGGCTCTCACTTCTTTAGGGTATATACCTAGTAATGGGATGGCTGAGTCAAACAGTATTTCTAATTCCAGCTTTTTAAGGAATCACCATACTGTTTTCCACAGTGGTTGAACTATTTTGCAGTCCCATTAGCAGTGTATGAGAGTCCTGATCTCTCCACATCCTCGCCAGCATCCTCCATTTTCTGTCCTGTTGAACTTTGCCATTAATGCTGGAGTGAGATGGTATCTTGTTTTGATTTGCAGCTCTCTGATGGCTAATGGTCATGAGCAGTTCTTCATGTATTTGCTGGCTGCCTGAATATTCTCTTTGGTGAAGTGTCCATTCACGTCTTCTGCCCATTTTTTAATTGGATCGTTAATCTTTTTGTTGTTGAGGTGTTGGAGTTTTCTATAAATTTTAGAGATAAATCTCTTGTCAGATATGTAATTATCAACAATTATGAATTTGTTGCTGTCATTTTGTTATGTGCTTTCTTGTGGTGTTGATTGATTTATTCTATGTAATTTTCTGTGCTGAGCTCGTTTTGTTTATGAATCGTGTTATCACTTCCTTCGTTGCTATTGTTTTAGTATTTGCTAAATATTTGTACTGGTCCTCTTTTTTATTTTGATGTAAAGGTTTATCATTTTTCTTTGAGATTACCCTGTGATTTATAGTTTTTTTCCCAAGTTTAGAACAGTCGATTTTATCTTGTAGTTGTCTTGACTTCCCTACCATTAGAAGTTCTATAACTACACAGTTTTTTCCTTCTTTTTGTTTGTAGTTGTCTTCCTTTGTTTATTGATGTCTCTGGTTCCCTGTTTACAATCTTGTAGGCTTCTTTGGATACTTCCATAACTGGGTTGGTTTCTGGGTTATGTTATGTGTGTTAGTGGTCAATTGTTTGCTGTTGTTGGTTCTCTGTTCAAAGAACTCCCTTTAGCATCTCTTGTAAGGTTGGTCTGATTTTGACAAACTCCCTTAATTCTTGCTTTTCTAGAAATGTCCTAATTTCACCATCATATTTGAGTGACAATTTTGCCGGGTATATAATTCTTGGTTGGAAATTTTTCTCTTTTAGATTTTTATATGTACCATCCCATTGTCGTCTTGGCTGTGTGGTTTCTGCTGAGAAATCCGAGCTTATTCTTACTGGTTGTCCCTTGTAGATAACTTTTCGTTTTTCCCGTGTTGCTGTCAGGATTCTTTCTTTGTCTTTGGTTTTGGTGAGTTTGGTGATGATGTGTCTTGGTGATTTTCTTTTGGGGTCTGTTCTGTTTAGGGTTAATTGGACTTCCTGAATGGATATATTCTCATCTTTCATCATACCAGGAAAATTCTATTCCAACAAATCTTTGACAATTTTTTCTGTGGTTTTATTTGCCTCTTCCTGTTCTGGAATTCTGATGACACGTAGGTAATTCCTTTTGATGGTATTCCACATGAATCTTAGGTTTTCTTTGTTTTGTTTTGATCTTTTTTCTGATTGTTCCCTTTCCAAATAAGTATTAAGCTATTTGCCTACAATCTCACTAATTCTGCCTTCTACTGATTCAATTCTGCTCCTTTGCCCATTCAATGAGTTAATCTATTTCTGAAAATTTAGCTTAGTCTTCTGAATTTCTGTCTGTAGATTTTGTGTCATTTCTGATTTTTCATTTATTTTGTCATTGTGTTCTTGTATTTTCTTCCAGAATTCTTCTAAGATTTTTTATGTTTTCTTTGCTCTGTCTCTCAATCCTTTGAAGATACCTAAAGATAATTCTTTTGAATTCCTTATCAGAAAGTTCCAATGCTGCTGCTTCTTCAGGGAAGTGTTCTGGGTCTATATCCTGCTCCCTTGTTTCTACCACTTTATCCTCCTTCTTTACGTGGACTGTGATGGTCTGTTGTCTTCGAGGCATTGTGACGTTGTTGTATTTAGATCTTTGTTACTGTTTGTGAAGAGCAGCCAAGGGTGATTCAGGCTCTTCGTGGTGTTTTTTTATCGTTGGCCCATTGGTAGAGAAGTAGGTAGTGGCTGTCGCTTAGTAAGTGAAGTTGCAGGAGGTGTGGGTGTAGTTGTGTCTTATGGGGACTGTTGTTGTCTCCCACTCAATCAGACACAAATTACAATCGAATAACCTTCAAAAAACTTGTCAGTCTTGCAGGTCCCGAGTGTCCTTGGAGTTGCACCACTCGGGAATCTGCAAGCTGTCTGTGCCGTCAGAATCGCTCACCACCACTGCCAGACCGCAGCTCTGTATGTCTCCTTTTTTGGTATTTTCACGCAAATTCTTCTGCTAGTTGGGGTTGAGTCCACTTCTGTATCCTTCCCTTCAAGGCTCAGGGGTCCAAGATTATCTTCTGTGTCTGTGTTAATTGGTTTCCCTTTTCCTTGTTGAAGAGGGTTTGTGTAGTCTTTCTCCCTAGTCTGCCATCTTGCTGCTTACCCCCTGGGTCTTTTTAAGATGTGGTCGATATCAGTATTAAACTAACCAATAAGCTATACAGATTGTGCCTCGTTAATAATTATATCTACAAAAAGATTAGATTCGTATACTTAGTGATATATGAAATTCCTTGCCATCAAGTCAATTCTGACTCGTAGCAACTCTATAGTAAGGATAGAGTACAACTGCCCCGTAGGATTACCAAGGCTGTACTCTTAACAGCAGCAGATTGTCACATACTTCTATTGAATGGCTAGTGGGTTTGAACCACTGACTTTCAGGTTAGAAGCTGTATGCTTAGCTACTGTGCCACCAAGGGTCCTTTTTATATATATAGATATATGTGTTATGTTTTACAGTAATTAGGTGGCTGTGGTGAGCAGTTTAGTGAAATGACTTTTATCTAACTAAAATTGAATTTGAAAAGTTTATTGCTGTGTTAGTGCTCTAATGTGTTAATAGTCATTACTGATATTGGATGATTCTTTAAAAAAAAAACAAACACAATTACCATAAGTCAGTTTTGACTCATGGCGACCCCATATGTTTCAGAGTAGAACTTTTCAGAACAGGGTTTACAGTAGCTATCATCTTTCAGAAATAGATTGCCAGGGCTTTCTTCTGATGTGTCTCTGGGTAGCTTGTAACTGCCAAGCTTTCAGTTGATAGCCAAGCACTTAATTATTTGTACCACCCATGGACTCGTAGATGACTCCTTACCACATACTGGGGAGGAAAAAAAAAACATGACTCTCAGTAATTAGAACACTTTGTTTAGGACTCCCCATGTCTAGTGCTAAGCCTCCCAGTGTTTCTTCATCCCAATAGGGACCTATCAGTATTTGTTTTGGCAAACAGATAATTGACCACCAGAACAGGTAAAGACAGACTTGAGGAAGATAGTGAGGAGAGCTGGATTTAGGTTGTAGGTTATAGTTGGGAATATTGATGTGATGAACATGAAAAAGAGCTCTTAGGTTCCTAGGTTCTTAAAGGGGATGGGATGGCCTTGGGTTTAGGGGCTGAAAAAAATACCAAACCTAGGAGCTCTGGTAGCATAGTGGCTAAAGCACTTGACTGCTAACCAGAAGGCTGGTGGTTTCAAACCCACCAGCCACTCCTCGGAAGGAAGGTTGGGCAATCCTACTTCCGTAGTGATACTGCCTCGGAAACCCAAGGAGGGGTCGCTATGAGTCCGGGCCGACTCGATGACACATAACAACAACAACAACATTCTCAAATTAGTCAGGGACGGGCAGAGAGAGGTGCTTAGAAAAACAGGATAAAGTGAGAAAGAGGTGCTAGGCCTCAGGTGCTTGGCTAGAGTTGTACCTGGACCTGTGATGCCCCTTGGCAGCTGCCTTCCTAACTACTCTGGGAATGGTTGCCCTGTTTCTGGTTCTTCCTCTGCCATAAGAAATGGTAAGGGAGAAAGCTAAATTTGTGGACAGAAGAATTTCTTGGAAAAGAGCAAGATTAGGAAAGTTCTGGCCTCTTCTGCATGTGAAGGAGTAAAGGACAGAGGCTGATGATTCACTAGATGGAAATTTCACCTATTTCGGTAGTTTTTCCTGCTTGTTCTCAACTGTGTAAATTTAAGAGATAACTTAGGTGTTTTGGCAATAGGTGGTGTCCTTTAAGTATGACCTAGAAGGAATATAATTAATATTTTTAAAAATCAGATTTGCCTTTAATTTTACCTTTTCTTTGTTTGTGTAGCCAAAAGAAGACCCAGAGAGTGTCACTTCTCTTTGAAGATGATGCTGATAGTGGAGGCTTTCTGTTTGGTTCTCCTCCCACATCGGTTCCTCCTGCGACAACGGTATTCTTAGACTCAAGAAATAGCCCTAAGGTTATGTTAAATGAATGGTGCTGCTTCCCTGAATTAGCTCTTAAAGCTTGACTTTGTAGGCCAAGTCTTACGGAAAAACTATTTGCCTACTTTAGAAAGAGATCTGGTCATGACCTTTTATAGATAAAGCAAAGCTTAGGGAAGGATTCTGTTTTGTGCAGCCATGCAGTGTCAAGTGTATCAACAAGAAACTGGAGTCTTTGCATTTTCAAGGGAGAATGCTGCCCCAGTTTTCACAGGAGGAATTTCCAGGCTAAGCCCCCATTCTGCCTGGTACATAAAGGGCATAGGGGCAGCATCTTCTGACCATCCTCTAACTTCACAAATGGCAGAGAGAATCACTGTAGCCCAAGGCTTATTCATATGAGACCAGACATGCTGTCACCTTCCAACCTTATTACCAATTTTGACACCAACCTTCCTCCTCTGGCACACACTACTTCTCTGCTGAGTCAGCTAATTTATTGCAGTGGCCACACAGAACTCATAGATAATACTCATGATTATGGGGTTTATTAGGGAACTTGCTGTTATGTAGTTGTTATGTGCCATCAAGCTGCACCCGACCATAGCAACCCCTCCTTGGGTTTCCGAGGCAGTGTCACTATGGAAGTAGATTGTACAACCTTTCTTCCAAGGAGTGGCTGGTGGGTTTGAACCACCAGACCTTCTGGTTAGCAGTCAAATGCCTTAGGCACTATGCTACCAGAGCTCCTTTTAGGGAAGTAACAGGCTATAATTCAAATTCAGGAACAAACTCAGGGTACATTTCTTTGACCAGGACAGTCTCACCTCTGCTATGTCCTCAGGCACACTTCTCTGGCCCTTGGCTTCTCAGCCTGGCCTCTGCCCAGCTCAGGCAAGTGTTACAAAGCTCTTTTAGCTCATTCCGTCCCCAGTACAAAGTGATACTAAGAAATATTTTATTGCCATCTGGCAATTGCCAGCAGCTTCAAAGGGAAATCAAGAACTTCATAGGCTAAACCCTTTGCAAACCTCCTTTACCTAAGCTAGGTTAGCCTGAAAGGCCAGGTAAAGCAGACTCCAGATCCTGCTGGGACTGCTTTCAACCCCAGCCTTGAACCACTGCAGTGTAATAAATAACATGTTAGAAGCAGAAAGAGGTGTAAGACAGGAATGGAGCAACGAGCCCCTAGGCTGCCTCCTATGTAGCAGCAGCCACAGAGTCCAGAAGGACAGAAGAAGACTTTGCCTCTCTCACCATGGTGCTCCTGATAAAGTCTGACACTACATAGTCCTGGGTGTTCGTCCTTCTCAAGGATGCAGTAAAAGTGGGCTATTGGCATAGAGGAGCCTAGAACTATCTCCACCTTTCTAGAGGCTGATGCTTGCTGCTTCTACCATACCTCATAAATATTTTTAGTTTGCAGTATATTTTTAATTACACAGTTACACATGGAAGTGTTCTGAAAAAAGATTTTTAAAAAATGTATATAGTATAAAAAGTCCCCATTCTACACCCCTCCCAAGAGATAATCATTGGTAACAATGTGTTGCCTTTCATTTCAGATCTGCTTCTAACGATTCACATGTTTATATTGGTTTTATATTTAAATGAGACATCATATATATTTATGTTTTTTGTACTCTAGCATGTTTTCATTTCCGTAAGCTCTATCTTGTTCTTTTTCACTGATGTATGTATAGTATTTCATAGCAGACCTGTATGAGACATGTTAATCCATTGATAACCAGTCACCATTTCCTGCCAGTTTTATGTTAGAGATGTTTCTTCCCATACCAACTGTCTTGTCATCTTTAGTCTTGACTACCAAGGTAAATTCTTATCTAGCCTCTCTGAAGGCACCTTCCCTTCAACCTACTCACCTTGCTATTGCTGTAGTTCTCTTAAAGATATATCTGGTCCTGTCATCTCCTTGTTATAATGCCATAGCTCAGCCTACAAGGCTGCCTGTAATCTGGCTCGAGCACATCCCAGCTTTTCTAACCTCTCTTTTATATAGGTAACTCATCCTGCCCCAGAACACTCCTGAAGAGAGATTATTGCCTCTTTTGTCTGGAAAAGTCATTGTATTTTCAGACTTAGTATAAATGTTAATGTGTCCAATGAAATCTTCCCAGACCAGGCACATGCCATTTAGTGAGATGATAACACTTTTCTCACCCCGTTTTCATACATACATTTGTACAGCTTATACTAGAAGCTTCAGCATTAGGAAAACGTGTGGCCTTCCTTGGGATCTAGGCTACCCCTTCTGCTTCTGAGATACTCATAGTCATCTGGACATGCTCCGTAGTTAAACGACTCAGATTTGATTTGGTTTTCTTTATAAATTATAAATGGTAACTTTAAACTGGATAAATAAGAAATAATTTAGTGAATTCTGAAGGCTTTAGAAATGTAAAACTTCTATCAATCTATGGTAATTATGGTTAAATAAAAGGCCAGGACATATATCTGAGTATCTTAATAGCCAAATAGGATTTTTACCATTTGTGACAACCTTTAGACAACAGTAGAAAAAATATACTTTTTGTTCAGTGACATTAGAATATTTTAAACTGAGTTAAAATATGATTCATGTAAACCTATTAAGAAAATTTTTTAGTGAAGACGAGGAGCTTCTCTAGGAAGATTTAAAACTAGTACTTTGGGTGGCATTTTCCTAAGTTTAAGGACCACAGTTACATGAAAGGAGAATAGGTTTCCCTATACTTGAGTGTCTTTTTACCACAATTAACTTGAATCTAATGTATAATTTTCATTGAGTACATTCCACAATTTCACAATTTGTCCTTTTAACCACTTCAGTGTTACCAGATTTTTCCTGCAATTTTTTCTGCAATTCATTTGTGAGCTTCTAGTCATCTTTATATATTGAGTACAAATGATTTTGTATTTTAAGGACGTCTTCCTAATAATAACCTGTATTTTCCCTTACCCTATTCTTAACTTCATTAATAACTTTTTTCTTTACTATAACGGTATTTCCTAAAGATTGCCTAAATCTGCCTTTCCAACTTGATTTAGACATTGTTTTAAAGCTTACTCCCTCATATCATCTATTCCAGTTAGTATGATAGAGTTATCCCTACCTATACTTGAGTTAAAATGATCAGTTTTAAGGGGAGTTGTATTGAACACCTATTAAAGACTGTGACTAGACATAGAAATATATAATATGATCCATTCAAACAAATGGATAAAATAGATCTATGATAGCTGTTAATTTAACAAGAGGGAAAAATGAGAGACTAGTGAAACACAAATGCTTATTAGTGAAGCAGCTGATTAATACTGAAAAGAGCAGGAAAACCTTCATGGGTAACATGTGGGCTGGACTTTGAAAGGTGGGAAAGATTTGTTCCCACAAGAAAATGAAGGGAGCAAGCTTGGAAGTGTGAAACTACACAGTTGGTATAAGCAATAGCAAAAAGTGATAGTGGATAGCATGTGGTGAGTGTCTATTGATTGTCATGTTTAGTATTTGCTTAATACACACAGTATAGGTTTGAGAATGGGATAAAGTAATCTGGTGGATATTTATTTTACCAAGACAACTCCAGCTAAGTCTGATGAAGTACAATTGTGAGGGGAGGAAGTGATGAGTGTGTTATAGAGAAAGGGCTTAAGCTAGGACAGTGCCAGTAGGCTTGACAGAGATGATGAGACGTGCAGAAGATGATGGCAGAAATGGTGACATGCCGTTTCTGCAGGTGCAAGGTGGTTTTATTTATTTATTTTTTAAATTGGACATACTTAATTATTATTCCAAAAACATGTAAATAGAAATTTTGAGTTCTCATAAACCAAAGGAATTCAAACATTCAGTTTGTATTAATAAAATAAATAAATAGATGTCACAATACTTCATATTTCTGGGGGGAAACTAAACATTTCTGTTGGAATAATAAAAAATAGATGAGATTATCCATCTACCAGCATGTATTAATTTCTGTTTCTATATCACAGAATAAATTTGATAATTTACAATTTCTGTATAAGCAAAAAACAAAAAAAAAACCAAGTACAATCCATACTTATGATTACTATGAGATGTTAGAAGCTAAAGATTTGCATAGCCTAATTTTTATTATAAGCAAAGAGTAAATATCGGTAATAAAAAATGTTGGTAATTGGTAGCATTTCTTAAAATAATTGACCATTTGGCCCCATGTAGGTGAAGTTTCCTATTTTTAAAAAAATTTATTACAGAGATAGACATAAAACAAAACATAGTAGACTATTTCATCAGTTTCTGCTTCTATCAGTTTCCTAATTTTTTTTTTCTTTTAATTTTATTTTGATTTGGGTGAAGATTTACAGAGTAAATTCACTTTTCATACAGCAGTTCACATATACTTTGTCTCATGTCATTGACCAAAATTTACAATACAACAGCTCCCCTCCCACTTCCTCCCCATAGTTACCTCTTCCCAGTGTCCATCACTCCATACTCTTCTGCGCCCTGAGCTCTCTCCCTGTGCATAAGCAGCCCTTCCTTCTCCCATGATTGTTCTCTCCAGGGTGTGTGTGTCTACTTGAGGTAAATGTTTAACTTACTTGCCTGTACTTTGTTTGGCTGGAAACCACAGGTGTGGGTTCAATTCCAGACCGGAAGGGCGGCTAGGGGCCATAGTCTCAGTGGTTTCACCAGGCTCTGTTGGACCAGCAAACCTGGTCCCCACCTTCTTTTTTTTTTTTTTGCCTCCAAATGATTTTGAGTTTTGTTCCACATTGTTCTCCCTCTCTATGCAGGATCTCGTTCATCCCTTCCAAGTGGATGACAGTGGTAGCCAGGCACCATCTAGTTCTTCTGGTCTCATAGTTGTATAGGTTGCAGATCAGATGGTGTACCAGTCACTAGGACTGATTGTTTCCATTCATTTGGTTTTCTTCTTTCTTCTTGACGAGGAGACACCCATTGTTGCATCTAGATGGCAGCTTGCAAGCTTTTAAGATCCCAGTCGCTACTTGCCAAAGTAGGAGGTGGAACAATGTTTTGTATAGTATGTTATGCCAATTGAGCTTGATGTCCCCTGCGACTATGGTCCCAAGCCCGCAGGATCAACTACTCGGTCGCTCTGGGTAGCTGGCTGTGACCAAACAGTGACCACAACCTTGCCCCTTGTCAGCTCTACTATACACCTGGGAATTCTGATCACTCACATAAACTTATAGGACCATTGTCTTCCAACCCTATATATGTTCTTGGACACACTCCCCGTTTCATAGACATACCTAATCATTTAATTGTCCACCTATCTATCCATCCATATACCCCTGTTTGCCTTCACTGACAACTCAGTACTGTATATGCAAAAGGGTTCATATTTGTTGTCTGTACTTCCCATGTACCTCTCTATGTCTTTCTCATCCTCAGTGGTGCCATATTGGTCACTCCCATTTGGTACATTGCCCTTCTCTTCACCCAAATCAATATTTATCACTATCTATCTAACAGCGTTCCCTCCCCTCCCCTCCCACCCCTGGTAACCAACAAAGAAAATTTCCTCCAATAGATAAATCTTTCCTTAAGTTTTACAGTAACGGGCTTATACAATATTTGTCCTTTTGTGACTGACTTATTTCACTCAGCATAATGTCCTCCAAGTTCATCCACGTTATGTGGTGTTTTGCAGATTCTGCATTATTCTTTAGCATTGCATAGTATTCCATTGTGTGTATGTGGTTGTAATATTTATTGTTCCTCTTTTTCATACCAGCTTCACTATCGTGTTGTCAGCCTCTCACCACATTAGCCAGCATCCTAAGGAGGACTTTGGTTTTGATGGTTTTAACTTAGTGTGTACATTGCTATTCCATTCAGGTACATTTTTTTTTCCAGGATGTCATTTACTTTTCTTCTTTTGATAGGAAAAAGATACAGTTGCTCAAGCACCACCTTTGCTGTTCAGTGATGAAGAAGAGAGGGAGGCACCATTTAGAGTGAAGTCTGTGGATAAGAATGTCTGCATTGCCGTAGGATCATTGGATGTTGGGAGAGCTAATGCAACTCAGTCAGGAAAGGTAGACTTTTTTCAATCCTATAGATTCTAATATGTGTGTCTCTTGTGTCTTATTTTAAAACAAGCAAACAAAAAAACTTTAAATTTTTCCACTATAGAATATATAAGGATTGTTTCTAGAAAACTTTGACAACACTGAAAAGTGTGAAGAAGAAAATTTATGGTCCCACTGTTCAGGCAAACTTTTAACATCTGCTCTTGTTTTTTAGTCAGTCTTGGAGGCATATGAGCACACACAGTGATGTGCATTTTCCTTTTAATATTGTTGTCACGTTGTATGGATGTACATTTTATCTTTTTTTTCCACATCTTAGTTTTTATTTTGGCTGTCTTTCTATACATTTACCATATCTAACTTGTTCTTTTTTTCTGTACTCTTGGTTCTCTTCGAATTCCTACCTATACTTGAATTAAAATGGTCAGTTTTAAGGGAATTTTAACTGACCATTCTTTTATATTTACTGTATTTTTTAAAAAAAGTAATATCAGCATCATAACCTGTCTGTCTTCAGGGGAGATAATGCAAATCAAGATCAGCCCAAGGTTCATCTCTATGAGATGGAGGTCAGAAAAACTCTCCAATCTTTTTACCAATTCTGACCCCAGTCATCCCTCCAAGAACTCTCTACTTCTCTTCTGGATTTAATAATCCATTGCATTGGCCACATAGAACTCACAGATCATACTTAATAGTTAAATGGTTTATTAAGGAATTTGTAACTCAGGATCAGGATCAGGAAGCACGTAAGCAGAGTCTCCCTTCTTTAGTGCAGGGCAACGCTCTCAGCCTGTCAAGCCTCCTTTCAGCCCCCTCAGGACAGGTTCCTATTAACCTCCTCAGGACAGACTCCTCTTCCAGGCCTCTAATAGTCTTGTTACAGCTGTTTAGGAGATTCCTTGCCTCTTTCTGTTTCCTCTTTCTTTGTTCTGCTTCTTCCTCCTTTCTGTGTCTAAGATGTATGTGGGAGTGGCTGGTTATATATACAAAATCCTGGTCAGTTTTGAGGCATGGCCTCTCCTAGTGGGGATCCCTTGGTAGGCCGTAAACATTTCATTTCTTTAATCCATAGTCACTTCATTTGCATAGTATATTGGCCAATTCCTATAAGGTGTATACTGATTACAGGGCAGGCAGCAGCCCAGGACCAGACAAAAAGTATCAAATCAAGTTGTTTACACCTTATCTAGAAAATGCAACAGACCTAGGGTAGAAAACTAGGACAAAGGTAATCCTCAGGACTTAGAGAAAAAAAAATCTCTCAAGTTGTTTTTCCAAAGAACCAAGGAAAAAAAGCACATAAAGGAACACATTTCACCATACTGTGAAATACAGAATAAGTGAAATTTATTATTCTGAAACATTAGCTTTCTTCTCTGGACTATCTTGCTGCCCGCAGAAGACCAATGGATGATACTGCCTGCTGTATGTGGGAATATGGTATCTAGTATTGCCTTCCATCTCTGTTCACTTTTTTCCCTCCTAAGTTTTCTTGTAGTCTGTATGCTGCTTTGTGTCCACCTACTGAGGTTTAATCTCTCTAATAGGGCCTATATAACAAACACTGGTTTTATTTTTCCTACTGAATCTCCTTGAGGCAACATTTTATTTATACCTGGGTCATTGTTTGACATTTTCTTCCCCATAGTTGTAGTATAGACTGACATTTTTTTTTTTTAAAGATTGTGATTTGGGTGAAAGTTTACAGAGCAAATTCATTTTCCGTTAAATAGTTGATACACATTTTGTTTCATGACATGGATTGCAATCCTCATAACATAACAGCTCTCTTTACCCTATGTCCTTCTTTGCTATGCATTCCTGCCCTCTGAGCTATCTCTGTGTGCAACGGCTGCCCTTCCAATCTTGCATGGTTGATTATTCTAAGGAGTTGTACCTACTTGGTGTAAATGTTCACCTTATAGGCCTTCCAGGAGGTCTAGTAGCATAGTGCCTAAGGCACTTGACTGCTAACCAGAAGGCTGGCGGTTCAAACCCACCAGCCACTCCTCGGAAGGAAGGTTGAGCAATCTACTTCTGTAGTGATACCGCCTCGGAAACCCAAGGAGGGGTCGCTGTAAGTCAAGGCCGAGTTGACGGCACACAACGACAACAACATAGACCTTTCAGTTGTTTGGCTAGAAGCCATGGGAGTAAGTTCATTTCCAGGCCTGAAGGGTCTCAGGGGTTTCACTAGTCTTCTATCAAACCAGTAAACCTGGTCTTTTATGTGATTTTTGAGTTTTGTTCCACATTTTTCCGCTATTCTATCCAGGATCTCCTATTTTGATCTTTTCTCCTAGTTGTTGACAGTGGTAGCTGAGCACCATCTGGTTCTTCTGGTCTCAGTCATGTAGGCTGAGGTTCCTGTGGTATACTAACTAGTTCCTCGGACTAATTGTTTCCATGCATCTTTGAATTTCTTAATTCTTCTTTGCTCTGGATGAGGATAGGTCAGTTGTTGCATCTTAGATGTCCACTTGTAAACTTTTAAGACCCCAGTGGCTACTCACCAAAGTAGGATGTAAAACAATGTTTTTGTATAGTATGTTACGCCAGTTGAGCTTGATGTGTTCTGCAACCAGGCCAGAACCCATGGACCCAGTGACTCACTCCTTCAAGGTGTTTGGCTGTGGCTAAGAAGTTATAACTTTGCCCCATTAGCAATATTATACATATAGACATTCTTAAAGCACATACAGGCGCTCTGTTGGTGTAGTGCCTAAGGCATATGACTGCTAACCAGAAGGCTGGCGGTTCAAACCCACCAGCCACTCCTGGGAAGGAAGGTTGGGCAGTCTATTTCTGTAGTAATGCCGCCTCAGAAATCCAAGAAGGGATTGCTATGAGTTGAACCTTGACTCGATGGCAGTGCATTGCGTTGTGTTGCGTTGTGTATAGCACAAGCATGTATGTAGAAATATTGTCTGCCAAACTTATATATGGTCATGGGTATATTTTTTTTACCTAGACATACCTGATCATTCGGCCTGTCTACCCATGTATCTGCCTGTAGGTTAATGTTTGTTATTATTTACAATGCAGTATTATGTACATAAAAGTGTTTACCTTTGTTTTCTGTAGCTCTTGTGCACCTCTCCATGTAGACAGACCCTTTTTTTTTTTTTTTGTCCAAACATTCTGAGCACCTGACTTAGCTGAGTCATAGTCCATTCAACACTTGGCTCTAGTTACTTATTGTGATACCCGTTCCCCTGTCTGATTATGAGCTCCTTGAGGATTGGCACCAGGTCTGTTTTAATCATTGTTATATCTGTAACACTTAGCATATTATCTTACACACACTACACAAAAACGCAGCGCACTGTTGTTGAGTCGGATCCAACTCATAGTGACCCCTCCTTGAGTTTCGAGGCAGTATCACTACGGAAGTAGATTGCCCAACCTTCCTTCTGGGGAATGGCTGGTGGGTTTGAACCGCCAGCCTTCTGGTTAGTTAGCAGTCAAATACCTTACACACTTTGCCACCGCAGCTCCCTTACACACAGTAGACACTTTATAAATACTTCTTTTAAGAAGCATATTTTTTCACCATTTAACCATTCTGAAATTGGGATGCATATCACTATTGTTATGTTATAAACGCATATAGATAGATAGATAGAGATAAACAAGGATCTCTGGTGGCATAGTGCCTAAGGCATTTGACTGCTAACCAGAAGGCTGGCAGTTCAAACCCACCAGCCATTCCTCGGAAGTAAGGTTGGGCAATCTACATCTGTAGAGATACTGCCTCAGAAACCCAGGGAGGGGTCTGTGTGAGTCTCTTTATTGGAGCAGCTGAGCAAGAATTGACCTCAGGTTTTGTGACCTGGGAGTAGGTATGATAAGCTGTTATACAGATGTGGCAGTTGACTAAAGTACTGAGGAGCTTGGGAGGCCCTGTGATAGGACTTGTATTTCTAGGTCTTATTTATCTTTTCTTTATTGCCATTTTTAGGAAGGACCTTTGACTATATCTGTTCAGGCACCAGTCAAACATTCTGATTTATTTTCATCATCATCTCCATCAGAGAAAGGAGCCAAGGGTAGAACCAAAACTGTTCTTAGCTTGTTTGATGATGAGGACGATAAAACTGAAGATCAAAGCAGCACCCAAGCACCAGAGAAAGAAGTAGAAAAGGTGAGCAAAAAGCAAATAAATCTTACTTTATGATGTCAGTTCCGTCATGTCATTTGCTGAAGAAATCTTACCCTTGGATACAGATTGTATTCTTTAGTCAGATAGATGTTTGGAGGCTAAATATAATTCAGTGTCCCTTTTCTCAAGTAATATTACTATAAAGAGGATTAGAATTAAACCTGCTTCTCTTGGGTTTTGTGCCTCCTACAAAACCTTTGCTCCTTGCTCAGTTACGGAGTATGAGCAAAAAGAAAGAAAGTGCGGTGTAGTAAATTACTTAGTGTGGCTTTTCTACCTATAAGTCTTTGTAAACTCCAAGGTGAGAATTGGAGTTTACAAAGACTTATGGGTAGAAAAGTCACACTAAGTAATTTACTACACCGCAACAAGTGAAGCCAGATCTATTTCTGGTGTTCAGTTTTAGAAATAGATGTTGTAAATGAACTTTTTGTTTTCATCAGATGTCAGCAACTTTTTTGTCCAGAAAAGGTTAACCATTGTTAGCACAAAAGCATCCATAGAACATATGAAAATGAAAGCATATTATTGTATTGGAATAAAAATTTATATGTAAAAATAAGTGATAGTCTGTGAAGCCAGTATTACCCTAATATCAAAACTACAGACAAATAACTTTTATGAATAAAGATGCAGAAGTCTTCAACAAAATACTAGCAAACAGAATTCAACAAAGTATTAGAAGGATTATACACCAGTACAAATGAGATTTATCCCAAGACTGCAAGGTTGGTTTAATATCTGAAAATCAGTTGTTACAATACCATATCAATAGAATATAAAGACCTATACCTATGTGATGATCATTGTGGTAGACGCAGAAAAGCATTTGGCAAAGTCCAGTACCCTTTGTGGTCAAAAGACTTAACATACTAGGCATAAAACCTGATAAAGGGCATCTATAGAAACCTTCAGCCAACATCATATGCTATGGTTAAAGACTAGATATTACTATTCCCGAAGATAAAGAACAAGACAAAGATGTCTCACCACTTTTAGGCAAGGCAGTTAGTCAAGAAAAAGAAATAAATGGAATCCATCTTGGAAAAGGAGATGTAAAACTCTTATTTTGCAGATGACATGATCTTGTATATAGAAAATCCTAGGAATCAACTAAAAAAATCATTTAGAACATGAATAAATGAGTTTAGCAGGGTAGCATGGTACTACATGATCCATTGTGGAATTCTCTTTTTATACAGTAGCAATGAACAATCTGAAAATGATAAGGATAGATAGATAAATCAGTGAAATAGAATGCAGAGTCTAGAAATAAACCCTTAATTCCTAGTTCATTAGTTTTGGTGCCAAGACAAGTCAATGGGGATAGAATAGTGTTTTCAACAAATAGTGCTGAGACATTTGGGTTTCCATGTGCAAAAGAATGAACTTAAACATCTACTTCACACCATACACAAAAATAAACTCACAGTAGACCATAGACCTAAACATAAGGCTAAAGTTTTACAACTTTTAGAGAAAAAATATATGCGTACATTTTCTAGACCTTGGATTAGGCAAAGTTGCCTTAGGTCGGACACTGAAAGCACAAGAGACAAAAGAGTAAGTACCCAAATTGAAATCCATCAAAATTAAAAACTTCAAATGACACTGCAGTGAAAGTGAAAAGACAGTGGACCAATGGGTGAAAATATTTACAAATCATAAATTTGATAAGCAATTTAGCTCCAGAATATATTTAAAATAAAAAGCCTGCAGCTCAAAAAGGAGCTCTGGTAGCACAGTGCCTAAGACACTTGACTGCTAACCAGAAGGCTAGCGGTTCAAACCCACCAGCCACTCCTTGGAAGGAAGGTTGGGCAATCTACTTCCGTAGTGATACTACTTCGGAAACCCAAGGTGAAGTAGCTATGAGTTGGGTCCGACTCCACGGCACATAACAACAACAACAACAGCAGCTCAAAAATAAAAAGACAAATATGCCTATTAAAAACATTCAAAGAATCTTAATAAAAATGTCTCCAAAGAAGATCTACCAATGGCCAGTAAACACATGAAAAGATGCTCAACACCATTAATCATTAGGGAAATGTACATCAAAAGTGTCTTTAGAAGCCACTTAACACCCATCTGGATACTCACTGCCACTGAGTTGTTTCTGACTCATAGCAACCCTTTAGGATAAAGTAGAACTGCCCCATAGGCTTTCCACAGCTGTACATCTTTAAAGAAGGAAACTGCCTCATCTTTCTCCCACAGAATGGTTGGTGGGTTTGAACTCCTGACCTTTTGTTTAGCAGCTGAATGTGATTAAAAAAAAATTAAACAAATTTTGGTGAGAGTGCAGCCAAATAAAGTGGTGATACACGCTGCAACATGAGTGAACCTTGAAATATGCTAATTGAGGGTAAAATGGCGGAATAGGGAGAAAGACTGCACAGATCCACTTCAACAAAGAAAAGGGAAACCAGTTAACACAGACACAGAAGATAATCCTGAACCCCTGAGCTTTGAATGGAAGGATATAGAAGTGGAGTAAACCCCAACTAGCAGTAGAATTTGCATGAAAATACCAAAAAAGGAGACATATGGAGCTGTGGTCTGGCAGCGATCCTGAGCAAGCCTGACAGCACGGCACAGACAGCTTGGAGAGTGCCGAGTGGTGGTAGGACCTAAGAATTAACCTAAAACTCAGCCCTGCTAGCCAGGGACTGCATGGAGGACTGCTCTGGTGGCTGGGGAATAAAACACGAAGCACTAGCAAAGAGTAAGGCAGGCTGAGCTGTGGACTTTGGCCTGTCCGGAGGGCGCCACCATTTTGGATATTTAGAGAGACAGTGCTCTCTGAGATTCCAGGGACTTAAGAACAGGATCTGCTTGCCAGTAACCCTGAGGACACTCTGGACCTGGATGACTGAAAAGATGCAACATTCCTTTTGTTACTCTTATACTCCACACCGCTTGGTGAACAGAGGTGCGGCCATCCCCCACTCCCACCCACCTTCTGGGCCCGCAGGACCTCCATCCCAGTCTGTGTGCTCAGGCAGAGCCTGGGTGCCCTGCCCTACCCTCCCCCAATTTTTTTCTTTTTCTTTTCTCTGGTTTTTAGTTTGCTTGTTTTTGTCTGTTTTATATTCTTCTACTCTCAGGTCCTAGGTTTCAGCTTTTTTTCTTTTCCCTGTTCATGGTTACAAATATATATCTTTTTCCTTTTTTCTTTTTCTTCTGTGTTTAACCCTGTTCCTTGTTTTTCTTTTTGCATTTTTCCCATTGTTTTCTTCATTATTCTCCTTCTCTACCTTTCTTTTCTTATTGCCTGATCCCCAGATATTTCTTCTTCTTCTTTTTTTTTTCCATTTTTCCTTTCTTTGGTTACAGTTCCTGTGTGATTACATGGTGTATTTTTTGTTCATGTGCTTTTAGTTTTTTGATGGTTATTCAGTTGTAATTTTTCTCTAATTAAGTGGGAGACAGCAACATTCCCCATAAGACACAACTACACTCACACCTCCTGCAACTTCACTTACTGACTGAGAGTGACCACCTCCTCCATCAATGGGCCAACGATAAAAAACCACCACCAAGAGCCTAAATCACCCTTGGCTGCTCTTCACAAACAGTTAACACAGATCTAAATACAACAATGGCACAATGTCTTGGAGACAACAGACCATCACTGTCCACACAAAGAAGCAAGATAAAGTGGTAGAAACAAGGGCACAGGATACAGACCCAGAACACATCCCTGAGGAAGAAGCAGCATTGGAACTCTCTGATAAAGAATTCAAAAGAATGACACTTAGGTATCTTCAAAGGATTGAGAAACACACCAAAGAAAACACAGAAAAAACCCTAGAAGAATTTTGGAAGAAAATACAAGAAAAAAATGACAAAATAAATGAAAAATTAGAAATGATTTGAAATCTACAGATAGAAATCCAGAATATTAATACTAAATTGTCAGAAATAGATAACACATTGCAAGGACAAAGGAGCAGAATTGATTTAATGGAAGACGGAATTAATGAGATTAAAGACAAATACCTGAATACGTCTTTGGAAAGGGATCAATCAGAAAAATAAAAATAATAAAAAAAATGAAGAAAGCTTAAGGTTCATGTGGGATACCATCAAAAGGAATAACCTATGTGTCACTGGAATTCCAGAACAGGAAGAGAAAAATAAAACCACTGATAAAATTGTCCAAGATCTGTTGGAGGAGAACTTCCCTGATATGATGAAAGATGAGACTATATCCATTCAGGAAGTCCAACGAACCCCAAACAGGATAGACCCCAAAAGAAAATTACCAAGACATATCATCATCAAACTCACCAAAACCAAAGACAAAGACAGAATCCTGAAAGCAGCAGGGAAAAACTAAGTTACTTACAAAGAACAGCCAGTAAGAGTAAGCTCTGATTTCTCAGCAGAAACCATGCAAGCGAGAAGACAATGGTATAGTATATATAAAACCCTGAAAGAGAAAAATTTTCAACCAAGAATTGTATGTTGTTGTTGTTATGTGCCGTTGAGTCGACCCCGACTCATAGCGTCCCCTCCTTGGGTTTCCGAGGCAGTATCACTATGGAAGTAGGATTGCCCAACCTTCTTCCGAGGAGTGGCTGGTGGGTTTGAACCGCCAGCCTTCTGGTTAGCAGTCAAGTGCCTTAGGCACTATGCTACCAGAGACCCGGCAAAATTGTCCCTCAAATATGATGGTGAAATTAGGAGATTTCCAGATAAGCAGAAACTAAGGGAATTCGTTAAAACAAGACCAACCTTGCAAGAGATGCTAAAGTTGGAGTCCTTTGAACAGAGAACCAAAAATGGCAAATAACAACAGACCATTGATACACAAGATGACACAACGCAGAAACCATAGCTATGGACATATCCAAAGTAAAATAAGCTTACAAGACTATAAACAGAGAACCAGAGACATCAATTGGCAAGTGAGGACAACTACAAACAAGAAGAGGGAAAAGACTGTGTAGTTATAGAACGTCTCAATGGTGAGG